AAGGAACTCTCGCGTTCCACAACAAAAAAAAAAAACGCTTTTGCTCCTCACCAACTCAGGAGAAGCCAAAAAAAAAAAGTGACAGGAGCGGGGTTCGAACCCGCGCCTACGAATAGAAGAGAACTTGAGTCTCCCGCCTTAGACCACTCGGCCATCCTGCCCTCGGAGCCTCAGCCATTTTCTGTGAGAGTGATAGTGTCGTTGCGCGTCGGGACAAAAAATCGTCACCAGCAGGATTCGAACCTGCGCGCGAGATCGCAGTTGATTTCGAGTCAACCCCCGTAACCACTTGGGTATGGTGACTACGGTGGATGGAACAAAGCGGCGCAAACATAAGGCAGTGGAAAAAGAGGAGTCCGCATGTTAGATGGCTACACCCTGTGTGGCGCCGATACGCTGTTGGGTGGCATCTCTCGCGAGGTGTCGCTCGACTTTTTTTCTCGTGCTATTTAGCAAGGGGAGGAGGGTGTCGGCGGTCGCCATGGAGGACGGCTACTTCAGCTGCTTGCTACTTCTACCGACGGCCGTCGTGGTGCTCGCACCACGTGGCCCTCGTTGCCGGGGGGAAAGGCGCGGGCAGAGTGTGCGTCGTTTGGGGCTTGCCAGGACTCTGGTGGGCCCCAGCGCGCACCGCCCGCGGCCGAACCCTGGCGCCCAGCCGTCGCCGCAGTCGACCCCGGCGCTCTCTTTCCCGCCGTTTTTTTTTTTTTTTTTTTTCTGAGGTGAGGGTGTGGGTGAGTGCAGTGGTGGATGGAGTTGTGTGCGGGTGCGCTCGCAGTCGGGGCCGTAGTAGTAGCGTGCGGCGGGGGGGCTGGCGGTTGTCGCGGTGAGTTGGTTTGATTGTCTAACAAAAAAAAAAAAAACAAAGCTCGAGATCGGGTGGGCGGGGAACGGGGCACCACACGCTCGTGCTCACGGCGGTGCGCTGCGTCGACTACCGTTGCTGTCGGCGGCGAACTTGAGTGCGTCGTACGGCCGTTCGTCGAATGGGACCGACGGCGTGATGTCTTTGGAGCCGAGGATCTGGTGACGCCGCGCCACGCGGTGGAGATGCTGCAGCTCCTTCTCCACCAGCGACGTCAGCGCGTCCGCCTCCTTGGTCTTCTGCTCCAAGATGAGGAGCACCTTCTTGTACTCCACCTCGGCCCGGCAGCCGGCGTCGTGCACCGTCGTCTGGAGCTCCTGCTGCCCACCTCGCACCTCCTCCAGTTCCGCGCGCAGCGAGTCGACGTGCTCCTTGACACGCAGAAAGTTACGCTTCGCCCACTCGTTCGTCGCCTCCGCGGCCGACTGCGCGACCTGCTGCAGGCGCTCGTCGAGCTGCGCCACCCGCCGCTCACATCGCTCCGTTGCGCCGGCGCTGCTCCTCTGCACCCGCTCCTCCAGCTCGCCGAGCCGGCGCTGCATCGTCGCCCACTGCTCCTCCTGCGTCGCCCTGCACGCGGCCAGCTGCGCCTCGAGGTGCTGCGCGTCACGGTGCGACGCCTGCGCGTCCACTGCCGCCTGCACCGACTCCAGCTGCCGCAGCAGCTGCTCCGTCAGCAGCTCCTGCCGCTTCAGCCGCGCGCGCAGCTCCTCGTTCTGGCGCCGCAGCTCCGCCTCCTTCTCCTCCTGGATACCTTGCGACAGCTTCACCAGCCGCGTCAGGTTCAGCACCTTCTCATCGCTGGCCTGCACGCTGTGCGTCAGCGCCTCCAACCGGTCGCGGTACTCCTGCGCCGCAAGCGTGCCGCCCACGAGGCGGTCCAGCTCCTGCCCCAACGCACTCGTCAGCGGCGCCGCCGACGTGCGCTGCTCCGGGTACGGTCGGCTGGTGCCGGTGGATGGGCCCTGGGTGCCGTGGCGGAGGCGACCGCCACCGCCGTACACGTCTGCATACTCCATTCGCGTTGCCGTCTCGCGGAGGAGGCAGAGGCGGAGGCGGAGGGCTCACGTCACAACCGGCCAGAAACAGAACTCGGTATGTGTGCGTGTGCGTGTGCGTGTGTGTATGTGTGCTTCTATGCAGGTGGAACAACAACAACAAAAAGGGGTGGTGGTGTGCGTGTGCGTGTGTGCGCGCCGCGGTTGTGATGAGGTAGCGGCGCCGCCTGAGGACAGGAGCGACGCTCAAAGAAAAGAGAGAGAGAAGTAGCGACAGGAGGACAAGAGCGAGGACGAGGCAGAGAAGAGAGGGGGGGGGGGTTCCGTGCACGCGCTGTCGCATCCGCGAGCAACACTCACAGCACACCCGCACCACAATTCGCCACGTTTTTTTTTTTTTTTCTTGGGCTCGCCGTCGCGATACTCAGCGGCAGTGGGCAGCACGACAGAAGGACCACCGGGTTTGGATTACATCGTGGTGGAGAGGTGACCAGTCACGCGGCGGCGCTACGTGACGATCTTCACGTCGCTGCCATCGCCGTGATCTGCCTTGAGCCGCACCGTCAGCAGCTTCTTCAGAGCGTCCCACGCTGCATCGGCGCCGCCGGCTTTCTGCACCCGGCGCGGTAGCGGCGCGGCCAGGTAGTACACCCCCGCCACCGACACGCGCAGCTCGTACGCGTCCACCTCCATGGCGATGGCCGAGACGGCCTCCACACGTGGAAGCTCTATGCGCACGGTGACGCCGTCGCTCCCGGCGCTCGACGCGTCGCGCGTGAAGTCGACGCCGAGATACACGTCCTCCGCAGACACCTTCTGCTGGTACAGCACGGTGTGCGCCGGTTCTTCGAAGGTGCCCGCGTCGGCGGGTCCGGGGCGCCACAGCGTCGCCGCGGGCTGCTGCCCCGCCGCCACCGCCGCCGCCGCCGCTGCGCGCGCCGCCGCGGCTACAGGTGCAGGGCCGTCCTTCCGCTGCTGCACAAACAGCGCCTGCAGCTCCGCCTGTGTCCAAATCTCATCCCCACGCGGGCGGGCGGGCTGCGCCAGCTGTCTCTTGCGCTCCGCCTCCTTGCCATGTGACGGCTGCGGCAGCCGCAGCTGGTGGTCCACCACAGTCGGCGGCAGCGCGATGCCGGCTGGATCGCCCCGCGGTGGTGACGATGATGCAGCGTCCACCCCACTTGCCGCGACCACCACGGCACTACCGGGCCCGGACCCGGCTCGCTCGCTTGTGTGCTCCTCGAGGCTGAAGCCGGTGGCCTGGCCTGCGGGTCGCTCGAAGGCGCGGTTCTTGTCCAGCATCGCGGCCAGGCTGTCCAAGTCCGCCGCGTTCATCGCTGCCATGGTGGAAGCACGCTACGAGCGGGGAGGGAGAGGGGAGGGGAGGGTGCACCACGGTTTGTTGTGTTGTTTGCTTGCACCCACACAAACAAACCAAAGCAGCGGAGGAGAAGTGCGTGGAGAGAGAGAGACACACACATACACACACACACACACACACACACACACTCAGCGATAGCAGTAGCACGCGGCACTCATCCAGCCTGCACGGTCGTCCTCTCCAGTTCCCTTGACGGAGTTCACAAGAGTGGGGAGCAGTTGTGGCGCTGCACGACGGCGACGCGCACCGCAACACAACACAGATGGTCTGCCCCAGACTCTCACTCCCTCGCCCGCCACTCTCAGTCTCTCACAGGGTGGAGAACATGAGCGAGACATACAGAAGACAGGGCCGTCGAGCACCCTCACGTCGGCACACAGAGACGCAGACACGCGCACGCGTCTCGGGCACAGCGCGTCCTTCCACCCACAACCCCCTTCTTGGTTTTCTGTTTTTTTTTTTGCCTGGCAGAGTCTGTGCTGCAGCACGCCTATCGCTTCTTCACACGCACACACACACACATCCACACACAAGCAAAATATGTAGCCGTTTCTGCATACGAGGAGTACTGTGGTGCTCTGCGCCTCTCTCCCTTCACACCACCTCTTCTTCTTTTGCTTTTGGATGCTGCAGAGGGTCGCTCATGCTTCCTGTCTTGGCGCGCGGCAGGGGTGTCAGAGCTTGCTCCTCCGAGCAACACTGTGGTCGCCGCTACCGCTCCCCGCACGCTCGCGCTGCCACTCGTGGATCATCGCGCGCACCTCGGGTCGCGATACGAGGCGCACGAGGTACTGCTTCGCTTGCATGGCTGTCAGCACGTAGGAGCACAGGTAGCCGTCTTTGATCTGGATGACGTTGAGTGCCTTGTGGTCCATCAGCGACAGCGGCCACTGCTTCCGGTGCGCCGCGTCGACGTTCCACCACAGCTGCACGACACGCAGGCTTGTCGAGTCCACGTACTTGGTGGGAATGCAATCGCGGCGACGCGGCTCCGTGTGGTAGAGGCGCCGCATCAGCCCCAGGTACGCCTCCTTCACACCGGTGCCCTGGTTTTCAGGGTCCTCGAGCGCGCGGGTGGTGTTGTAGAACTCCATGAACTGCAGCAGGTGGGACGGCCAGCGGAGCACCACCTCCTCGTCGCCGGGCTCGTCCGCCACGTGGAAGTGGCGGCGAAGGCTGTGGATCGAGTGCACCTGCTGCGTGTGCTCCAGCATCTCGCGGATCATCGGCTCCACCTTCCCCACGTACTGCTGCAGCTCCGGCACGCCCATGCCCACCCCGCCGAAGAGATAGCCGCGCAGGTACTCCTGTGGCCGGAAGGACGGGATACGCCAGCGTGCCGGCGCCTTGGTAGCCGCAGGCCCGCCGATGCTGCTGGTGCTGCTGCTGCTGCTACTACTGCTTCTCTGCGGGGAGGCGGACGTGGACTGGCGCACCGCCGGCGCGGTGGCCACTGCCAGGGGTGCAGGGGAGTGTGTTGCAGAGGCGGCGGCGACGACAGCGGTCACCGACGCAGCCGCCACTGGATCGGGCCGCTCGCCGGCGCGGGACGGCGACGCCTGGCGTGGCTGACGAGCCGCCCTGTCGTCGCCACCGCCATCGCCCTTGCTGCCGCTGCTGCTGCCGCCCCGCGGTGGCCGCTTCTCCTCCTCCACCTCGCCGGTACTGGAGGGGGCGAGGAAGAGCGTGCCGCTGGGCAGCACCACCTGCTGCGTGGGGATCATGATCACATAGCCGCACTGAGGCTTCAGCGTGTTGATCGGGTTGGGTGCGCGCAGGTAGGTGATGAGATGCTCGTCCATCGCCCCCGGGGCGTCCAGCGTCTTCTCGATGAAGATGCGCGCGCCGGGTGACTCGAAGGTGACGGCCAGCGTGCCCTCCTCCACCGCGCGGCAGCCCGCGATCACCGCGCCGAGG